GGATATTCAACGGATACGGATCAAATACTAGCATGAAGTATGAACATGAAAATAACTTCACTATTCTATAACAGAAATAATTGAAAAGCCTATGCTGGCAGGTGAAGAGGATAGGAAAGTGTGTGCACAATGCTACAAATTTTCTTAGTGGTTCCAAATAGTTCAGCATCTGTTGCACCCAAAACCGAATTAAGACAAAATATACTAATAGATTGACTGATAAGCATTTGAGCAACCTAATGAGAATAGCTGATGAAAAAGTAGATATAGAACACTTTCCATATGATAATGCAGCAAAAATATTCAGTGCTTTAAAAATTAGAAGATGTTAAAAATGAAATATTTCTTTTCCAAGTCAATTCGTGTTTTTTTCATTTTTAGAAATCTCACCTAACTTTTTGAAATCTCACCCAGTTTTTGAGAAATTCTCACCCACTTTTTTTCTGTAACGAAAACACTGGCTCTATTTGAAAAATTCAAAATTTTTTTATTGATTATTGGTTATAAGAATGCAAACGATTCGAAATCTACATTCTCTATTTTGTTAAAAATGTAGACTTGCTGACTGAAAACTTCTTATTTATGTTTAATTCTTTTCTGCACCACATGTAAGCACTTTTCAAACTAAAGTGTTATTATTAAATTAAAACTTATTTAAATAGTTTAAAAAATGAATAATTCTATTTTCTGAATTATGTGTATTGAGATTCTTAATTTTCTTACAGACTTTCTATTTTTTAATAAAATGAAAATTTTAATGTTCTTCTATTGATTGTAAACCATTAATTTGTGTTCTCATTTTTTTTTAATTAATAGAAACTTAACAAGCTAGAAGAAGAGGAGGGCTTAAGAGAGTCAGCTGGCTATTATGATGAAAGTGAAAGTGATGATGATGAAAATACAAGAAATATTAGAGCTTTAGCTAAAAGGTATTTATTTTAATAGCATTGTATTAAATTCTGAATATTGTATTTTTTTATTTATTTGAAATTTATTTTTTTATTAGGATTCGTGAGAAAAAAGGCATTCTTAAAATTGAATCTCAGTTGAAAAGGAGTATTACTAAACCAAAATTACCGAGAACAGCTAAAAAAGTTAGTATAAGACATTTTGGCAAGATTTTTTTTCCTTCTAAATGTATCTAGCCTTAATTCCGTGGTTAATATTTTTTTCTTTTATTCACAGCGAACACGTAGTGTCAGCAGGCTGAAGATGGAAATGAGGCAATTAGGAGTTGAATTAGGGGACACAAAAGTAAGAAATGCTTATAATTTTTTTTTTCCAGATCTTAATCTATATATTTTTAAATTTAAGAATTTGATACTGGACCCTATATATATGAATCTTAAAGAAGATACTGAGTGATTAAAGTCAGTGTGACTTGCCCACAAATACTGAAGCCTTGCAGATAACACTTGAAAAATAAAACAATGTCAACTCTATTGAAAGCTACAAATCTATAATTTACTTTAACTTCTATTAAGCAAACACTAAGTTGAATAAGTTAATTTGATGAGCAAGTAAGATATCAATTGTTAAAATTCTAGTTTATATTTCTGTGTGAAAATTAAACTAAGTATACAATGATAACATATTCTGATTAAATACATGTGTACAGAAATTAGATCAATATATTATAATATTTAAATATTTTTTCAGAATCAGTAGATCAATTATAAGTATCTTTTAATCTATACAACATAATATTCTAATTTAGAAATTTTTCTTAACATCTGTTGGGTTGAAATTAAATTTTGATCACAACAATTTACTGTGAAAATCAGGACTGATTGTGCTCCGAAAAAAATTCCCCGGATTTCCGGATTTTTCGCTAACAGTGATCCGTAAGTTTCCGGAGATTAAAGATCCAGACGTTTCAAAAATTCATTGATCACAGAAGTTTCCGGAAATCAAATTTTCAAAGGTGGAACTTAAAAACGCAGTTTATTTTGTTTGTTTGTAAGGGAGAGCCAGAGAGATACTTTATAAGTTAATATTCATAATTAATATTCATTTTTTATCAGTAAATAGTTGTTATAATCATAAACTCAAGAAAGAAAGACATATTTGTAAATTTTAATTACTTCTCCAGGTCATGTGTAAAATTTTAAATATATTTTAAGTAAACTAAGAAATATTGAGAAAAAAGAAAAACATTGTTTAATTTTTTTTTAATTTGAACTTTTATTTAACTTAAGAAATTTTTCGGAATTTTGACTTGGGCTCACAATTACCCCTGGAAAACATAAAGAAAATTTTAGACGCGTGCACATTATTTAAATAGTGCTGATAAAATTTAATTTTTCTCCTACTAAATCATCCCAAATGCATTTTTGCTAATTTATTAGTTGATATGTATTTCAGATAATACAAAATAGTTTCAACTACCCATCAATTTTGTCTTGGTTCAACTGTGTGTAAAAAAAAATAACCTTTATAAATTTCCCTTATTGTAATTTTCATCATATTGATCTATGCCTATAAAGTTTTTGTGAAAAGACTTAATACATATCTTGTTTCTTTTTTAGGCTCATTTTGATGATGCTCAAGTGGGTAGAGTGGTGAGATCAGTCAAGCGAAAGAGAGAAGATAGCGAAGGAAGAGTACGCAGTAGCTCCAGAATACCTAGAGACGAATCTGGTGTTAGAGATGTCAAGGTACTCCCCTTTTTGATTCAATATCATTTGCCAATTTTCATTTAGCAAGACATTTGTTTTGCATTTAAAATATTTATCTTTACATATACTTCTCAAATTTATATTTCTGCGTGCATAGCTGCCAACTCTACTGGATTATGCAAGTTGCGCCTGGTCTACTGGTTTAGTTAAAGTTCTCCTGGTTTTTCTACATTTTAAAAAATTCCCTAAAATTGAGGTAGTTTCGTAAAAAAAAATCCCTCTCAAAATAAAATTTTTGCACAGATTATTGCTTGAATATTGAAATAAGTATTACTAATACATAATGACTCGAACCTCATTTATAGAAATCAGTACAAAACTTTTTTGTTTTTAAATGTTCCGTTTATTTTTATTCAGAAGAATTTTTTAAAATTAATTAAAAAAAATTTTTTAACTATCATTGATGAATTATGAGTAAACTTAATACATAACAGATCTATGATTAATGTCAATCGTAACTGGAAAATATTAGTTTTTCTATTTTGATGACTATAAAAATCCCTAAAATTCCCTATGTGTAAGATATTTAGTACATTATGCTACAATTATCATGAAATTTATATTCTTCTGTAAAATCTATTGGATTTTTTCCTATCCATGTTGGCAGCTATGTTCACGTATTATTCCTCCCCCCCTTTTTTTGGTGTTGAAATTTAGTAGGAACACTTTATTTTAAGCATGTTTTAGGCTTTCATCTTGAATTGTCACTTATTAACACTTATTCTAAACCAGCATAAATAATGTTCCTAATTACTTGGAGATACCTTAACTTGTCTTTTATTTGTATCTGCTGCACTTAATTAAATTGTAACTTTTCCCTTTTAGATGAAGAAGAGGGCTAGAACACTTTCAAAACTGTCTCAACGTGCTAGTAATAGATTAGCAAAGAAGGGTGAAGGTGACAGAAAGATATTGGACTTAAAACCAAAACATTTGTTTGTAGGAAAACGTACACTCGGCAAAACATCTCGTCGATAAATAGAGCACCTATAGTATTTGTTATAAATTATAAATACATTTTATGTTTGTAAATTGTTATTAAATATGTACTCACCTTTTCTTTGGTGTTTTAATGCTGTACATTGCTTCACTCATCTTTAAACTGTACCATAACGCTATAGTAAAGATAGGATCATTAGGGTAAGGCATTATCATGGACACAGCAGCCTGGGGTGGACCATGGCCTTCTCTATGAACGTTTCTCCATATGGTTTTCTTTGTTACCAGAACTTTCCAGTTCAATATCCTAATTGCTTTAAAACATAAAAAAGAAAGTACAGTGCACTCCCGATTATCCGGGCTAATCACCGGGACAGTCGCACGAACAATCGAAAAACACGGATAATCCGAAAACTCCTTTTATTAAAGAAAAAATCAATATCAGTACAAAAAATATAAAAATTACTCACATTTGCATGCTGTAAAACATCAAACTAGGAATTTTCCTTTTAAAAAAATGTGTAATGCGTCTTCGCCATTTATCGATACACATATTTTACGAACTTCAGTAATATCACCGTAATCAAATCCTCCCATATAATCTAATAAATTTTCCACAGAGCAGCAGTATGAGAAATTGTATTTCCCTCATTTACTACATCTTCTGCATCAGTTACTATCATCACTATTTGATTTAACAACATAACGATGTCTTCATCTGTCAAATACTGGAAACCAATCTTCTAAATTTTCTTCATCAAGAATTTCGAAACCTTAGATTCCTTTTGCTTGTTCGAAAATACTGTTATCATACTTTTCTTGAACATTTGAAGAAGATTGTTCATCAAGCGGTATGATCTCTCTCCAAGATCGTGATAACATAGATGATTTTACCCTTGACCATGCTACTGATATTCCATATACTGTAATCCAATAACGAATATTGCTTCCAGAAATTTTGTAGTGTTATAACTTCATGAATCAAAGTTTTTTAATTTTGAAAATGTTTCTCTTTATATTTTTTGTGACTCCGGAATGAGCACGGATAATCCGCAAACCGGATAATCGAGAGTGTACTGTATCTTATTATTTTTTGTCTGCATATAGATTTTTTTTTTAAATTGAGTTTCCTGGAAAACGAAAACACTCATATTTTCCTTTAACTGAAACTTATTCCAAGGTTTTAGCTTAGGATCTGCATAAAGTAATTAGTTATTTTTTTTAATGTAAGTTTTGCAGCTTTCATAAGTCTTTTTTTTTTTTTTTTTTTTTTTTTTTTTTTTTNTTTTTTTTTGTATAATTTTTATATGTTAAGAACTAAGTAGTATCTGTGAAATGTATCAAAAAAGCATCTTAAACAATCAGATCAAAGTAAATATATGTATATTTATTATTATTTTTAAAAGATACAATTCAAGACAAATTATAAAAAGCAAATATAATTTTCAGTAATTCAATCTCTGCAATTTCCAAGTCTTATTATAGTCTTATTATTATAGAATTTCTTTTCTTCTAAATGCATTGGACTCTGGTAAGATTCTTTAATAAGTTACAAAATGCTTAATTTCCCTATATCAAAATCTTTCTTCGTGTTGATTTTCGTTACGAATTATGCAAAAAGCGTGATTTTTCCTATTTATTAGTTCAAAAACGCTTTAAGCCTATTTGTTATTTCAGGAGTAAACATTACAATTACAAGGTTAAGTTTTAGGCCACTGTTCTAATAATTTAGACTTCAAGATTTGTTATAGCCCATATTTTGAGAGTCAGAAGTAGAAGTAATATGAACTAATTCATTTGTAACACTGAAGTAGAGTGAGCAACTTGAAAAAAAAATTCGCTCTAATGATCGGATTTTTAACGTATCAAGTGTGAATCTTAATGGTTTCTTGGTGTGACTTCAAATATGCTAATTATTTAGTGCAACCTATTAAGTTGCGAAATCAGACACGAAAACGCACTTTTTCTGAATAGACATATATTTAGATTCCTGACCCTCAAAATAGACAAAATTTTGTGGAAAATTGGATCAAAATTTAGGAAGTTTTGCGCCGTCTCAAAAAAATCGCCACGAATTATCGCCATAGCTGGATTAGAAATTTAATCTAATCCTGTTCTAGCCGCTTAATCAATAAGATATTGTCAACCAAGCTGAGAGAATAAAAAATAATGAAATAATAGAAGATATATTCCACGTTCCCGAGCATTTTTAATCATAGAAAAAGATTTTGAAGTTTCTAGACAACTTTTATTTTTAATTGATTACTGCGCAAAAAGCAAAGATTGCTTTCGTTTTCAGCTCCTTTAAAAATAAAATTTGAAATTATTTATAATTTACCAAGATTTTAGTATTTGAACGCATGAACTTTTTATAAGGTATTATTTGTATATAAGTTGTTTTTAACTTCTTTGAGTATGAAGATTTAATGCTAATACCAAATTTGCATTATTTTAATTATATACTGGGTTTTAGGGCAAATAACGAAAAAGATGCTTTAAAAATTGTAAAATATCTAAGAAATTATAATGCACATCACAAGTTTTTATATAAATTGCTTTTTTTCGATATTTCTTTTAGACAGTATTAGATTGGAGAAATTAGTCAATGTTGCGTTACATTTTAAAAACTACATTTGAGTAAAGGGGTATAATTTTTTAAATTTAATTAGTTTTAAAAATGTAACTTAAAACGCAAAAAGTTAAATTAACAAGGGGTCCGAGCTTTGAATCGTTCTCCTGATTGCGGCTATCGCTCCTGATCGGGGGTTTCCAATTCACCTGAGGCCGAGGGCCGCACTTTATCAAAATTTTATATAGGACTCGTGTCTGGAGGAACATTAAATATTACTGTCAGATTTTTCATTTTTATCAAGTTGTACTAAACAAAATTATTGAATTACAAATTAAAATAAGTATATTTTTAAAAATATTTTATTGCATATTAAAAAATTCTGGCCACAAAATTTACAAATGTAAATAATTTCGTCAAAAATGAGTGGTTTCAAAAAGTTAAATCGGAGAATTTCTTCGAGAAAATTTCTGATACGCACATGTAATATTATATTCACTAAATACAAAAAAGAAATAAAAAAGAGCAACATTAGCGATTATTTTTGTATTATGTATATTATTTCTCTATATTTTGAAGGTTAAGAATCAAATATGAATATATATATATATGCGTTTATTCAGAGAAAGTACGTTTTTGTGCCCGATGGCGTAATTTAATTAATTGTTAGCACTACATATATTTTACGTGAAAAATCCGATTATTAGAAAGAAAGTTATTGAGGGTGATATCTTTTTTTTGCGCGGATTGTNTTTTTGCTCACTGCACATAAATTGACATACTATAGTTTCAGTTCTATGAACAAGAACCTTCCTAACTATTACCCTTTCCTTGAGTACCCTTGGAAGTATTGATACTGAATCTCAGTATGCGAAAATCTAAGCATATAAAAGAAAGTTTTGAAAAAAAAAACTCGTTTTTTTCCCCTTCAAGTTCATTGTCTAAGAATAAATACATAAAGATAACGTAGATAATTATATGGCGATGAATTGTATCAAGTGGTAGTAGCGTAGTATCATAAAGATATTTTTTTTAAAACATCCTCCTTCTCGAATATACAAAACCATAATTTCCTAACTGATGTATCTTATATGTTGATAATTATTAATTTTCATTTGAGAGTAAAACAATTTTTTTTAAGTTAGATAAATATATTTAATCAAAAATAAACTTTTTAGAGAAATAGTTTAATAAATGAATTCCATACTGTATTAGACATATCTCATGATATTGTGGATGTCTCAATAACTGCATTTCGCTAATTTATGCTATCATATTTCTCTATATGTGTTAAGATAAAACATTAAATGACTTAATTTAGGAACTCAGAAACGCAATATTGGTATTTTATCTCATGGTATTAAAATTGAGGACAGTTCACTCCATTAATTAACTACTCATTCATGTCGATAAATAATCAACATTTTATCTTTAAAGAAATTAATTCAGCTATTTTTTTTTTTTTTTTGTATATTCTTTACGATGGTTGATTTACTCGCCTGTGAGATGCTTCTCTGCCTAGCATGATATTCCCCCTTTTTGTGATTGCACTTATCAACTTATTGCACTTAATCAAAATTTTATATAGGACTCATGTTCGAAGGAACATTAAATATTACTGTCAGATTTTTCATTTTTATCAAGTTGTACTAAAATGTCATTTCTCCAAAATAAAGACATTAATTCCTTAAATGCCTTAAAGTTAAAGCGTGCCTTTATAATATAATTAATAAGCGTTTCTTTATCGAAATATTAATGTCCTCTAGAACTAAATTGCAATTATAAATTCTCCCGAAACAGCATCGAAGGTTTTAAAATTAGTGTTTCGCTCTGCTCAAAAACGTCAATTCAATCTCGACATGTCCTTTGTATCCCTTCTTCAATGGGCATACATAAATGAGTAGAAATAAAAGTTTCTAATTTAAAGAGGAAAGGAGAAAAATTATTTGATCGTGCAATTATCACTCGTACATTTATATTTTCCACGAATGTCTACTACGAAATGTAAAATCTTTATTAAAAAAAATCGACAATGATTAAAATATTATCAATAAAGTGATTAAAATATTACGAATACATTTATAGAAGAACAATAATACGATGTATGACAATCGTATGATCACATTATAAAGAAAGAAAGTTATCATGTAATAAAAGTAATTTTGAATTAGTATATTCAATACTCGAAAAGAAATATGACGAGGTGGCCGAGTGGTTAAGGCGATGGACTGCTAATCCATTGGGCTCTGCCCGCGTGGGTTCGAATCCCATCCTCGTCGAAAGCGAAATATTTTGCTTAGTGTTTGAATTAGAAGTTAATGACGATTCCATATGCTTGATTCGTCTTTTTTTTTAAAATATTTTTTTTTACGGACGTGTGAAAGTTAGTAAGAATTATTAATTTTAGAAGTGACGACTACCCCTCCCTTTATGTATGTTTATATAGTTAAAGAAAATATATTAGTTTTATATAAAAGCGATTTATCTAATTAATAAATTAGAATAGAATAAGCTAAAATTTTTACTTAAAAGGAATTCTGACGGAAAGCA